TTCCCTACATGTTGGGTTGAAACTGCCAAATAAAGTACTTCTGCCTGTGATATTTTCTGCATGTCTTTTGTTTAATGTGACACGTGTGTTCGGGCACCTCGTTTTGGGGGTAGAGGTAAAGCCAAAGTTGGGCTCATTGTTCAGAGATTAAAAAGGGACACTGAGGTCAATTCCCCCTCTGGCATGCTGAGGATGTGCCTGATCTCCGAAGCCACAGAATTTCTGTTAGAGGCTTTCAAAAAGCAAAAACCTAGCGTTCAATTTTTATGAGTGTTATAGTAAGAGGCAAGTCTCTTAGTACCTTGTTTGGTGGGACCAACAAAGGAGCCACGTGTCTCCAGCCGCTTGCTGAGCCATGTGGGGCCCTCCTGCACCTATGGACGTGTGTATATGCTATATGCATACACACGCCCAGATACATGCAGTAGGTGGAGGTGCCCAGGGCATTGGGGTGAGAGGGGTTAACAGGGAAGGACTGAGTCTCTGGGCCATGATTTCTTCAGAGTCCCTCAGAGACCCAGGTGTCCAGGGTGCCCCGCTCCCAATACTGGGCCTGGGGCCAGTTGCAATTCTTGGTTGTCACGTGGTTTCCCAGCTTAGCTGGGCCAGGGGAGGAGCCAGGTCCAGAGTCAACTCTGCTCCAAGCCCTAAGTTTACCAGAAAGGAGCAGGCGGACAGACGGGTCTGATCCCTCTTGGGTCCTCCAGCCATGAGGCTCCTCTGGGGGCTGATCTGGGCATCTGGCTTCTTCGCCTTGTCTCTGCAGAAGCCCAGGTCCCGGACACAGGATGCTGGAGAGCTTGAGCTGGGCCAGGGCTGGCGAGGGGAGAGCAGGCGCAGAGGGACCTGATTCAGGGGTGGAGGTGGAGGGGCCTGAGGAGAGGCCGGCCGCTGACCCTCACCTGTTCTTCCCAGGTTGCTCCTGTTTTCTCCTTCTGTGGTTCACCTAGGGGTCCCCCTGTCAGTCGGGGTGCAGCTCCAGGATGCTCCTTCGGGACAGGTAGTGAGTGGATCAGTGTTCCTGAGAAACCCATCCACAACAGCTCATGAGCTCTGCTCCCCAAAGGTGGATTTCAGCCTCAGCTCAGACAAAGACTTCATCCTCCTCAGCCTCCCGGTAACTGGCCGCCACTCCCTCCTGCTGCTGCCCAGCGCCTCCCACTCCGTCCTCCCTCCTCTGTCTTCTTGTAAACATCTTTGTCTTTTCACTGGCCCCCCTCCCCCGCCCCCCGCCCGAGTTGTCTTCCCTGTTTCTATCTCAGTCTCTGTCTCTGTCCTTCTGCTCTGGCTCTGACCCACTCCTGTTCCCTCTCCTGACAGACCTCCCTGAAAGGCGCAGAGGACTGTCGCCTCCATCTCCTCCACAGAGCCCCCGAGGTCCAGCTGGTGGCCCAGTCGCCATGGCTAACGAACAGACAGACAGACAGGCAGGGTGTCAACCTGTTCTTCTCCTCTCGCCGGGGGCACCTCTTTCTGCAGACTGACCAGCCCGTTTATAACCCTGGCCAGCGGGGTGAGTCTCAGCCCCCGGGCCCTCACCTTTCACTTCTTCCCAGCCCCTTGAGTGAGAAACCCCGAGGTGCCCCACAGGAAGGCCGCTTTGCAAATATTTGTTCTCTTCCCCGTCGCTTCCTGGGAGGGCCGAGGGGCCCAGGGCCCACCCTCCCTTGGCCCATGGTCTCCTGCTCACCTCCTCGCCCTCCATTTCCAGTTCGATACCGAATCTTTGCTCTGGATCAGAAGATGCGTCCGTGCACTGATACCCTCACGGTCACGGTGGAGGTGAGTCCCTGACCTCTGACCTTCCTGATCAGCGAGAGCTGCTGATCTGACCTCCAACCGTGACCCCTTCTACTCCCATCGCAGAACTCTCGCGGCTTCCGTGTGCGGAAGAAGGAGGTGTATGTTCCCTCCTCCATCTTCCAGGATGACTTTGTGATCCCAGACATCTCAGAGTGAGCTCCCCACTCCTGCAGATCGCCCCCACCTACACCTCCCCAGCTCCCGCTTCCCCCAGCTGTCTGCCTCCAACACACGGTCCAATCCTGAGCTCCCTGAGCCTCTGGTTCACCCCCGCAGTCCTCTTCCTAGGGACCTGGGTCACTGACTCTCAGTGAGCCTCCTTCACAAGTGGGCTGAGTCCCTCCCTTGTCTGTCCTCAGGCCAGGGACTTGGAAGATCTCAGCCCGATTCTCAGATGGCCTGGATTCCAACAGCAGCACCCAGTTTGAGGTGAAGAAATATGGTGAGAGCTGGAGGCACGAGGGATAAGCAGCCCCTTTCCTGCAAGGAATAAAGGGCGGGAGGAGAGGAGGGGGTGTTGCAGGGCAGGGGCAGGGGTGATGCGGCTGCCACAGCCCAAAGGGGAGAGGAGTTTTAAAGGGTCCTTTCATGAGAGTCTGACCTGCCCTCCATTCGCCCTGGGTCAGTCCTTCCCAACTTTGAGGTGAAGATCATTCCCGAAAAGCCCTACATCCTGGCAACGCCTGGCTTTCTTAGTGAAATCCAAGTAATCATCCAGGCCAGGTAACTCCCCCTCCGGTCCCTCACGCTGGGCCCTGTTCCCAGGGCTCCCTATTCAGTATGAACGTGCTATGGAGCCCCACTTCCCTCCCTTGCCCCAGGCCTCCTCCCTCTATTCCATTATTTCCTCCAGCCCTCAGCCCAGCCTCCTCCGAATCTCTCTGTGGTGGCAGGTACATCTACGGGAAGCCAGTGCAGGGGGTGGCATATGTGCGCTTTGGGCTCCTGGGTGAGGACGGTAAAAAGACTTTCCTTCGGGGGCTGGAGAGTCAGACCAAGGTAGGAAGGAGGGTGGGGGGTGCATGGGTAGGTGAGGAGAGGGAGGGAGGGTGAGGAGGTGAGGTGGGAGACTCAAGTCTCATTCTCTGTCCTGTCTTCTTCTGTGCCCCAGCTGGTAGATGGCCAGTGCCGAATTTCCCTCCCAAAGGCTGAGTTTCAGGGTGTGCTGGAGAAGCTTAATATTAATATTAACGACCTCCCAGGGCTGCACCTCTATGTTGCAGCAGCAATCATTGAGTCTCCAGGTTAGTGGCTTTCCCTGATTATAACCCCAGACTCTCGCCTCTGACCTCTGAGCTGACCCTCTGTTCTCCAGCACCAGCACCACCCTTCTTCCCTTCATCTGAGACCCAAAGCCAGGAAAGACCCAGGAGACTATCTCTCTACAACTGATTTCTGGGTGGTTTCTGGGGAAGGGGGAGCTTCCTCCGTCTCAATGTATTTTTTTTCACCCATCCATCTATCCACCCAATCACCCATCCATCCATCATCTATCCATCCATCCATCCATCCATCATCCACCCATCCATCCACCCATCCGTCCATCCATCCATCATCCAACCATCCATCCACCCATCCATCCACCCATCCATCCACCCATCCACCCATCCATCCACCCATCCGTCCATCCATCCATCATCCATCCATCTATCCATCCATCCATCCATCCATCCATCCACCCAGCAGACACATGTTATGCACCATCTGTGTGCTGCGTCCTATGTTGGCCTCAGCAAACATAGAGATGGATAGGAGGCGTCTTGTGCCCTGAAGAGTTCAGCCTTGTGGGTGGGAAACACTTGAGCGCCACCCCCCGCCCCGGGCTCTACTCTTCCTCTCTCCCCAGGTCTCTGTCTCCACCTCTGCCCTGTGTCTTGCAGGAGGGGAGTTGGAGGAGGCAGAGCTCACATCCTGGCGTTTCGTGTCATCTCCCTTCTCCTTGGATCTAAGCAAAACCAAGCGACACCTTGTGCCTGCGGCCCCCTTCCTGCTGCAGGTTTCTTCTGGAAGGGGGAGGATGAGCAGTGGGGGGAAGGGGCGGGGTGGTCAGGAGGGCACAGGGTCTCACTGACTGTGTTCTTCCCTCTGCCCCTCCCACCTACCTAGGCCCTGGTCCGTGACATGTCAGGCTCACCAGCCTCTGGCATT